GAAGGGGAAAGTGCTCGGAAGTCAAGCGCTCCACGGAGAAGGCGAGATGGAAGGCACAGCTCTGGATTTCATTTGGTCACATGTTGTGGTGTGATAGCAGATCTTTCCCACGTACCTGCACTCAGTACCCAGAGTCCCTGCTCCCGCCTCCACATCCCGAGCTCCTAAGCCTAAGCCCTCAAACTCCAGGTTTCAGCACAGCTGCGGCCATCATCTCCGTGGATCACAGCTATCGCGCGGCTGCTGGTGGCCACCTGGCGCACGTCCTGAAAGAAATCTGACGATGAATGTGTTCTAAGGCACTCGGCATGAGAAAGCAAATGGGTAGCACACGAAAACTTGATCCTTTTGAGGGACATGACCACTAGACTGTCATACTAACATGAGACCCCACGACACTAATTTCGGAAAATACGCGCCATCACAAAGAAAAGCGTCAAGATACTGATTGCAGCTGAGTTCTTCAGGGGTGTCTACAGAGCATGGCTATTGCGGCGGCATCTGGTACTTGGACAGGAGTAGCCCAACCATCAAATGAATGACATTTTTGTGCTACGGATCCAAAACTTCAATGCCTGAAATCTCATGTGGGGTCAAGCTTGGCAGTTACTTGTGCTCTTGCATTGCCTTGGGCTTGGAATGACTCGCGTGGGCCCCGAAAAAGCTTTCAAGGGTTTAGAGCCTGGAGTGTCAAAAAACGGGAGTTTTATCGGCAGGCAGTTCCGACGTGGGGTGAGAAACTTGAGCCCCCAAAGCCAAACACCTGTAATCCCTCCCCCCTATCCGGAAAATCCCGCCGAAACAAATCCCGCCGAAACCGACCCCGCCGTTTAAAACCTATTCCGAAATCCGAATTAGGGGCGGTTCCGGGCTCCCCAAACCCTCAAGCCAACCAACATCCTGAAGCTCCCTTCCCTCCCTTCCCAGCTCAATCCTTTGGACCCCAAACATGACATTTCTCCCCCTGAAAATTGAAACACATTTCGAGTTTCTATTGCGGGGAGGGCCTGGGGGGGGGGGGAACCCTGAACCCTAAGCCTGAACCCCAAAGCATCCCCTCTGGGCACCTGCAGCACAGGTTGATGGCCTCTGCCGTGATTTCGGCCAAAGGAGTCCCACCAACTCCTGGCGCTTTAAGGCCGATTGGAAGATTTATCGGGGTGCAGGGTTTGGGGCTCTTTCCCGCTTTCAAGACCTTGCTGAGACGTCGACACACAAGGGCACCGGGTATGGCTTTGGAGGGTCCAGGGCGCAACTTAAGGCAACTGGTCCTGATAGCGCCATCATCTGTGACAACAACCTGTCGCCCAAAGCAAGTCAAAGCGCACATCCGTGTAGCCAGCAAGTTCGGTGAATTCTCCACCACTAGTTCGGTTTGAACGGAACATCGTAAATTTTTCCAGCAATTCGAGATCGCACCATAATCCACTGTGGAGGGGAGGGGGGGGGGGGGAACAGGGCGCAGGCAGACCACCAACACAGCTGCACACAAAATCAAAGCCCCTGCTTCATCCCTTTCGGGCTTCACGGAGCCCGGTTATATGATGAAGCAAGGAAGCTCCTTTGGCACAGAACGCCTGCTCCATGCAGAGCTCTGCTTATAACATTCTTGGTAGCCCAGCAACCGCAAGGAACCCCCAAAGAGGGCAAAAGGGTACCACTGGGCCACCAAGAAAGAATCTTTGACTGGTGGTTCAGGCTGGCAACCAGCGATGCGGCAAAAGACACGGCTGGGTTGTCGGCCAGAACTTCCCACCTACCCACAAGATCTGCTTAGGGTTTATATTGTGCGGGTTTTGTGCGGTTATCTTTTTGCTTCTGGTCAAAAAACGCTGAAAAACACCGGCTTTTTCAGCCTTTTTTCAAAGCACTCGAAAAGAGTTGGCGGCCTTTTGGGGTTTCGGAACCCCAAGCAGAGGACATTTTTTGTGATTGTTGACCTGGATTACCGGCTTGTTCAGTTCTTTTTTTACGCCCTCGAGAAGACTAAGAAAAATCGCTATGTTTTGGCCCGAGGTTGGAGGTTTGTGAAGGCCCAGTCAAACCTCACGAAATCCGAAAGTTTTCCATTTGTAAAAACCACGAGAACTGGTCAAAAACCACTAAAAATTGGCCAATTGTGGTTCTTGTATAGGGTTTGGGTTTGTGAAGACCCAAAATGATCAATAATCACGAAAATTTGCCGTTTGGGCGGTTTCCAAGGCCGCCAACCTAAGGAAAATCACCAGAAAGGTCAAAATCACAAAAATTTGCCATTCGGGGCGTTTCCAAGGCCGCCTAACTAGCGAGAATCCTGGTTTTGGTCTTAGACTGGGGGTTTGTAGAGGAGCAATATGGCCAAACATCAGGTGTTGGCTTTTGTTTGAAAGGCACCATTGTGCTTGGTGAGGCTATACAATTTCTATTTTTCCAAAACCCAGAAGCCCAACCCCTCAACTCCTCAACCCCCAAAATCCTCAACCAGAACTCGCAAAGCCTTAGCCCCTCAACCCTTTAGCCCAGGTCAGGTAGCCAGCGCGCGAGAGCAGCGGTTGCAACATGGACTGACCTCGAGCGCTATGCCGTACCTGTGGCATTGAGGGAGTTCCAAGGAGCTTAGGGATTCAGGGGCTTTTCAGTTCGGGATTCGGGAGATTCAAGTTTTGGGGGTTGGGGGGAGGTACTTGGGTCTTCGGGATTCGGATCTAGGGGTATAGGGTTTTGGGGGTTGGGCTGCACGTGAGGGGAGGCTTCAATGCTCAAGCACTTGGTCCAAACCCTGAACCCCACGCTGCTCACATACCAAGCTCCCCTGAGCGCTACAACCCTAGACCCTGAACCCCCAACCCCCACCTTCAATATAATCCCTAACCCCTACCGTTAATATAACCCCCAGCCCCTACCTTCAATGTAACCCCTAACCCCCCTAACCCCCCCAAACCCGCAAGGAGAGGCGCACAAGGTCTCACCATCCGTGATGCCGGCTGCAGCCACGGTCTTCTCTCTGCAGATCGGATCCTCAGCCAAGCTGCTGGAGTCATTGAAGCGCCCTTCGGCTCTGCATACTAACTGAACCTGAGCTGAGCTAATGAGCTAAGCGCTTGGGGCTCACTTATGGGTTGCTTGTGCCTCGTTCTGTTTCGGGGGTGGTTCAGGCGGGGGTTGAGACCCTAATAACCCAAACCCTTCAACCCATACCCATCTTTCGACGTGGCCACCGGCTTCGGTCTCCGCCGAGGTGCCCCACCAGACGAGACGAGGCTTTTGAGCCCTCAGCTCGGTGAGCCGAGCAGGGAAATCTGTTTGGAGGGTTAAAGCTTTAGGGTTTAGGGTTGTGTGTGTAGGGGCGAGCCTTGAGGTTCTAGCGTACGCTTGTTCTTTTTCAGTTTGGGTTTGGGCTCTAGAGTTTGAGGTTGAGGGTTCTCAGAGTTTAGGGCTTAAAGCACGGCTCGGTAATTCAGGGCTTAGGGTTGGAAGATCACGAGGGAGAAGCTCTGAAGGGTGCTTTGGCACCGGGATATCCCTCCACCTCAAGGGGTAGAAGGGTCCAGGTGGAATACTCCCCATGCTATAACTGTACCCAACATAGTAAAAAACATCGTGGCATACCGCGCAGCGCGGGGACATAAAATACAGCGAATGAAAAGCGAGCTACGCTAGGTTGGAGAATATCTTGTGGCTGTGCAATGCACTGCCAACACATGAACTAGCATTCACACACTTGTCATCTTTAGTACGAGCTACATGGCTAGTGGAATTCTTGCTGGTACTATGGTTTCGATACTCGAGCTTGATACAGATCACCTTCGCAATGCACGTGACGGCGGAGCAAGCAGTGACCCATAGCCCTTGGCCACCCAACTAATTCAGTGCCTAAACCCCAATCCGAAATCTCGGGCCCTGCCCCAAGCCCTCAAAACCTAAACCCCGAAGGCCCCAAGCAAACCCTCTTGTGCGCCCCGGGGCACGACAGCGCAGCACGCGCTCCGCCTGCCTCCGAAGCTCCCAGACTTGGGCCTCCCAGCCATGAGGGGGAGGTTTAGGCATTTTAGGGCTTGTCATGAGCATGTAGGATTTCCGCGTGTGAGGGTGTAGGGATTTGAGTCGATTTGAGTGTTGGTCTTGATAAGAATCAAATTGGAGTGTTGGTCTTGATAAAAAATCATATATGGGATGGACCTTGATTTTTGTTTGTAGAGCGGTGGGGCTTGGGACCTAACCCGACGAAAGGCTGAACCCGACCTGAAAGGATCTCAGTTTTTAGGGTCTTCAGTTCGCAGGCCTTGCCTCCGACTCAACGTGGAGGGTCTCCGTGCGCCCGCTCAGCAAAGCGACATTCACACGCACGGGTGGCGGCGGCGCGCTGGCGTATCCACCCTCCATCGTCGTTGGCCGACGCAGGATTTGCACAGTGTGAAGCTTTCAGTAGCGACCTGGTCCTTGCCATGTCTTCTGATTCACCTCTTGCCAAGTCTTGGGGCTCCCAAGTCTGTCTCAGGTTTTGGGGCTTCTGTGACTTTTTGGAGCATTTGGGTGGTATGTTTGGTGAGGTGGCTTGGAGGAGCGCTTACCCTGGAAATGCTGCTGTATGTCTCGAGCCACAACGCCAGGGCACCAACTCTGCATCCCGAATCGGTAGCCAGGAGTGCTCCCCTTGGCCACATCTTGGACCACACATCTTGGCACTCGCAGCTTCCTTACCATTCACCACCTTGAGTCCAACAACCCATGGAGATGGGATGATTCTCACGGACATGCGAGGGCCACGAAGAGATTAGTAACAGACATAGACGGGGGTTGGCAAGGACCACTCCCCACACAGGGGAACCCGCAAGAAAGACTGCCACAGTGCTCCTGGAGTCACCCTTTCAACCTCAAGAAACCTGAGCCCCAAAGTCCCCAAACCTCGGGTGATGCCAAAACCCCTTTGCAGCCTTAAACAAACCCCCTGAACCCTTAACGCTTGCCCGGATGGGATGCTTGGGGGAGCTCCAAACCCACCTGCTATCCACACCTATGGCCTTCAGATTCACCAGGGACTCGTCTCCATCCTCGCATCCTTTGATTTACTCCCGGCAAGCGGGCTTCTTAGGGCTTCAGGGTGGCTGTGTGGCTGTGTGGTTTCGGGGTCTTGGGGCTTGAAAGGGCCAGGGCTTTGGAGAAGGTCAACATGAAGATCAACGCATGCCCAGGTCAACTTTTGGATAAGGGCATTCTGTCGAAATACAAGATCCTCCCCGAGAAGCTTCTGTGCAACATTGCCGCCGCAAGGCTCCTCTACATGTGGCGTTCCCAAAGCCGGCTTCCCTCTCCAGAAGCCGCGCAGCCGGTTTAATGATCCCGGGGGGTGGGTTTAAAGGACTGAGAGAAGTTTAAGCGGGGTGAGGAATTAGGCTTTCAGGCATCCAAGGCACCAAGCACGTTCCGAAGCGATTCCTGCAAAGGCGGGGGGTGAGCTTGCTCCCTCAAAAAAAACCCTCCGACAAAACCCTGAAATCTGGAACCCTCAAGGTGTGGCCGAGATCGGCTTCTTGCAACAAACCGCAGCGGGTGCAAACTCTTCAATCCGATTTTCAGCCGCGTCCTCGGCGTCCCAGCCGGCGCGGCGCAGCGCGCTACCGCAGCGCCACAAAGCGCTCATGGCCTTTCGCGGAGCTTCAGAGGGCTCTCGGAGGAGTTCCCGTGGCGATCCCGAAGTTAACCGAAGCCTCGAAAGTTCGAGCTGCAGCATTCCTTCATGCCCACGGTCTGGGGCCCCTGCATGACGGATGTTTCTCGACGTCTGAAATCATGAGAGTGACCGTAAGAACCGTCACTCTTGAAGAGCGTCCAGGGACAGCCAACGAAAGTCACAACAATGCTTCCTGGTCTCTCTTCCCCCGAACAGTGGAAGGCTTTCAAGCCCACCCATAAACCCTAATCTCCACCCGCAATAGCCTGCAGCGTCCTCAGCGGCTCCTCGCGCGTTGGCGCCAGGCAGTCGCCGCGCGGGTCATCGAACGAAGCCTTGTCTTGGGTGCTGCCGGTACAAGCCTTCACCTCGCCAAAGCCCTTCGACCAGGATCCTACGCTTGACCTACGCTGGCCGCACTCCTAAATCGGATCCTCTTAAGTTTAAGATTTGCCAAGGAAGATCCAGAAAATTCGCCCTTCCAGAAGTCCACTGAGACAGGAGGCCACCAGGGCGTGGAGAGCGGCTTGATTGAAGAGCGCACCAAAGGCCCCGGGCCTTTGAGACAGTGGCACTTAGGGGGACAACTAAGGCAGAGGGAGGGTTTTGGGGTGTGGCAAGGTGTTTCTGACTCAGAGACCCCTTGGACTCCCGAGCCTTGCCCCAGCCCTGCCCACCTGTTCCTGTCGGAGAGCAGGATCGGCATAGCCTGGATTGTTGTGAGGTGCATCATAGCAAGGAATGCTTTGGTAGGCCGGGGGGAGAGCCCAAGAGAGTTCTCTGACATGGGTGTGTTGACATGGTCCATACATGCCTTCATGGAGACTAAAGCTGTACAAGGCCATCTCCTACCCCAAGCACGAAGCCTCTTGCTACCCATTACTCATCTACCATAATCCGTGTACTATGGAAATACTTGCGGTTTCCAAAACATGGGCGTGCCCATTTCGGGGGTCCTGCAATAATGACTATAACAGTTTGGGGTACTGTAAGGGACCAGTACTTGGGAAAAATGCCCATTCAGCATTATGCCGGTGGCAGGGGCTTCAGGGGTCGCATCCGCATAGATTTAGGGTTCACGGCTCAGGATTTACAATCTGTTGCGGTAACAGTAGGCGTTCAGGGCTGAGGTCTTCACATTCTGCCAGCATGTGGTCCCCGCCTCGACCTCGTCGCCGGAGAACCGGCCGGTGAGGAGGAGGATGTTCTCCTGCACTTTCTTACTCCTTACCAAAGACTGGGCATACCTTTCCACCACCACCATTTTCAAAGCTATGCCTATTACAAGTCAGGGTTCTGTAATTCAGCAGTTTAGAGTAAATTCAGAGTTCCTCAATTCAGCCATTTAGAGGCAGAAGAGTGTTGCTTCCGCATTGGGCTTTGGTTGTTACGGTTGTCGCTGTGATGAGAGCTTAAAGCTTTGGGTTGGGGGATTTTGCAGTAACATCGTTCAGGTACTGCAGTGGGCTGTTCCGCATAGCGGCTTCTTGGGTGTACAGCCTGTCATGCGGACCGAACCTTCCCGTCTCAAGCCTCTGCACTTGTTGTTGCAACCCCAGCCCCCACGTGTGGGAACCCCAGGACAAGCTGACCCCAAACCCCAACAGGACCCCCCACTGGTGAGACCCTCAACCCCCAAACCGCAGTAAGCCGAGCCCCGCACCGCGATGGGGAAGCCGCCGTCGTCGAAGACCAGAAACCAGTCATATCCAGCAGCGTGGCCTGGGCTTCTGGCTTGTGGGGTTCAGGGCTGAGCCCCCCCAAGGACTCCGGAGGGCGATTGGAGGATCTTCCTGATTCCTTCCCATGCTGGACATGTTGAGGGTTCAACCTTCTTCAGCGAGGACACTTTTCGATGCACAGTACCATGTACATATACCCAAGCGCTTGGCTCATTTCCCCGAGTCATTAGAGCTAAGGAATCTTCAACAACTCTCTTCCAAACATGGGCTAGAAGCCTGCGAACCCTTGAACTGTAAACCAGGCTAGCCCTCTGAATCCTCCGAGAACAAACCTCCAACAAGAGGAGCATGATCCTGCCCAGCAATTCTCTTGGCCCTGACCCCCAAGGCCAAAATCCGAAAACCCTTCGCCGAGCCGCGCCGGAGGTAGCGAACCAGCCGCCGGGTGCGCAGCCAGCGAAAAGCGACCCCAGCGGGAGCAGGCCTGCTCTGGTTGCTTTGGGGTTTCAGGGTTTTGGGGTTTTGGGATTCGGGTAGGGTTTCGGGGTTTATCGGGTTCAGAACTTAGGGCTTAGTGTGGCAAGGGTTTGTTGTTTTTGGTCACGGCAAGTAGAGCGTGCTTTGGGGTGGATGAGCTTGGGGAAGTTGGGGATCTGCGTTCCATTGGGCCCTAGGGGGGCTCAAGTTCGCCCGGCGGGTGTAGGACAGGGAGAATGATGGCCGAAGTTCCCATCGATATGTCGCCTATGTAAGTCATAACCTGCACATGTTCTGCGAATCCATAATATGAACCTGTAGGTACCCGCTTCGACTCTTCGAAGCTCTTAGCTTGAACTCCGGGACTCGAGCCTGAAGTCCACAGGCGGGTCCTCCAGCGCTGAGGCGGCGTCCTGCGCGGCGATCGCAGCCGTGTTCCTGGGCGAGCGGGAGCCGGTGTCTCGGACGCTTAGGGTTTGGAGGGCATAGGGAGCTTAGGGCTACGCCCGAAATGCCATGAGCATGCCACTTGCTGATATGGTTGGGGTGCTCCATGAACATGGTTCTATGACTTTCTGACTGCTTCTGCCCTCGGAGCTCAAAGGTCTCTCAAGTGCCCAAGTGGAAGCCAAATGGCTCATCCCAGAGGATGTGGCCATCGCAGTGCCTGGGAAGAGGGCACCCCCTCCACCCCCTTACACACTTACACACTTAACCGAAGCCTTTTTTGGAGGTGCCAGGGCCCACTCGTCAGGCCTGGCTCCTGGCTGCAACTTCCAGAACTTTTTTCGGGGGCCTTTTGAGTTGAGGTCTGGAAAGCTCTCCCTTAAAGCCCTTTCAAAGCAAGCGCAACTCACTGAACATGGCCAGCCTGGCCCAGGTCTTCTCTGCTGCCTCGGCATAGCCCCGGCGAGCCTTTCAGGGGCCAAGGCTTTGAAAATGACTCATGCCTCGCGTCCAGGGCCCCTGGAGAACATTGTGCGAACTCAACGCGCTGCTTCAAAGAATCCGTGCGGGGTGATCGAGCTGCAGTAGTGTAGGCTGGGCTCAAAACATTACACCTGGCGGACCCTAATTACCTTGGAAGACTCTGCCTGGTATCAGCCTTGTAATTAAACAGAGAGTCGGCCTCAGGACCGTTTCGCTAACTAGGGTTGAGGGGTAAATGCAGCTTCTGGATATGAGCTACCTTACCTTTACCACAGGCTTTCCTCTAAAGAACCCACGAGCTTGTTTGAGACACTGCCGCAGAAAGTGCTGAGACTCTTTGCGCTTTTCGTCCACCGCGCCCTTTCTAGCCGAGTGCGGCAGCTGTGCCGCCGGAGCTGTTCCGACGCGCTTAAAACTGGCTTGAGGGTGTCAGGGCGTGGTCAGTCTTCAAAGCGGATTTCGGGATGGATGGCCTTTGGATGTAGGTGCTGGGTGGCTTAGGCTTCGGTTCGCCCTGAGACCCTAATCTCACACCAAGGCCGAAACACAACGGCTTGTGACTGAGCTTCGGCGGGAGAATTCGAACCAACACCTGCAGGGCAAGGGCAGCGTCTTGAGCTCTGCATCTTAGGGTGCTGAGTTCGGGGCTTCTCAAGGGCGTGGGTTCACCAGCTTTACGCCTAAACTTTAGAATCTAAACCCAAAACTCCGAAATGCCCCCCCATGCTCAACCCCGCATGGCAACTCCGGGCCCAAGAGAACGGTTCAGGGCTTGGTGTTTGGGGCTCTCTGAGAGGACTCCGAAGCTTTCTTCCCCTAAAATGGACATGAAGCCCAGAAGGATCCTAGAAGTATACGAGCCTCCCGCAGTCCCCACACACTAAGGACGCCCACAGCTCCCGAGGCCTCTCAAGCCGAGCTCGCAGCTTCCTTTGGGAGCTGCTCGATGTCCTCAAACCCGGACCAGGTGAAAAGCTGCACCTCCTCCATGTACCTGAGGCAGGTCGAGGTCCAGAACCTGAATTTTAGGCCCTAGAACAGCAAATCCATCCCGACCCCTAGACCCCAAGCCCTGAACCTCAAACGTGCAACTGCCCCCCCCCCCTCCCGCCCCATACCATGGTCCTTTGGCTAAGCAATCGGTTCCTGGTTGCAGGAAACCTCCGGCATCTAGAAACACGAAGAGTGAGCTGTTATCGGGCCGTTGCAAGACCCTGACACTAGCGGCCCTGGGGTCTCCGGAAATGCTTCACAAAACCGGGGTTAGACGTGCTCCGCTGGGTATGGGGGAACACGACGCTCCGCAATAGCTCAAAACTTTGGGTCCGGGCGGTTGGGCCTTTGTAGGTCTCCAGCTGGCTCGAGGAGAATTAGCATCAGGCTAGAAAGCATCGCATTCTTCCCGACTGCCGCTGTATGTCTACATGCTTTGCGTCGCCGACTGCAGCACTACGAAGCATGCCCGAAGCGTCCTTGCCCTAGGGCCTGGGCCCCAAAACGGCTGCCAAGATGCTTGACGAACTCGCTGTAGTATGGCTCGTTGGGCTCGCCATCTGCGCGAATCACCTGCATCACGCCCCGAACCCCTATGTCCGCCGCGCCCTGAAACCCTTACCTCTCCCCCCCCTACAAAAGACATCGCCGTGGCTACTGGAAAGGCACCTGGAGCCATTTGCCGAGCTTACTGGGAGGCCCTCCGTGCAGCCACGACAACACCACATAGAATGAATCGCCCAAGCATGAACCCTAAAATCCGAACGGGCTAGACGTTCACTGCCCGAATCCTTGCCTTCACGAAATTGTAGCCGCCAAATGGGCAGCAGGTCCAGGTGCCTGCTTCGTAGCGAGACCACGTAAGGGTTGCAATTCAGCGACGTCAGGCTTGGTCAACACATGGCGGTGTCAGTATTTGAAGGGAGTGAATGGGAGTCAATTTGGAGCTAGCTGGTGTGTGTGTGTGTGTGTGTGTGTCTGTGTGTGGGTGCGTGGGTGCGTGGGTGCGTGGGTGCGTGGGTGCGTGGGTGCGTGGGTGCGTGGGTGCGTGGGTGCGTGGGTGCGTGGGTGCGTGGGTGCGTGGGGGCGTGGGTGCGTGGGTGCGTGGGTGCGTGGGTGCGTGCGTGCGTGGGTGCGTGGGTGCGTGCGGTGCGTGCGTGCGTGGGTGCGTGCGTGCGTGCGTGCGTGCGTGCGTGCGTGCGTGCGTGCGTGCGTGCGTGCGTGCGTGCGTGCGTGCGTGCGTGCGTGCGTGCGTGCGTGCGTGCGTGCGTGCGTGCGTGCGTGCGTGCGTGCGTGCGTGCGTGCGTGCGTGCGTGCGTGCGTGCGTGCGTGCGTGCGTGCGTGCGTGCGTGCGTGCGTGCGTGCGTGCGTGCGTGCGTGCGTGCGTGCGTGCGTGCGTGCGTGCGTGCGTGCGTGCGTGCGTGCGTGCGTGCGTGCGTGCGGGTGTGTGTGCAGGGCCGACTACGGCACGCAGTAAGGAGTACCAACGAACTACACTTGCTCGGTGCCTTGGAAGCATTTTCGTGTGATCAGCCTAGCCCTGCTGTTGAAGCAGCACCCTGCAACAAGCCTGTTGGAAAACAAGGCGCACAGCACTTCGAACGGCCACTACAACCCTGAAGCTTCACAGGAAGCCCTCCCACACACAAAAAAAAAACAACGCCCACTCCAAAAAAGCAACCAGTAAAGTGCGCTTAGGAGACCCTAAGCACTGTTGAAACCCTAGCTGGTTCAAACATTGGCCACTGTTCTATACCCAAAACACCCATGGCCCCTCAACCCCAAACCATTAAACCCCAAACCCTACATCATTGCTTCTAATGCAAGCCCCCAAACCCTAAACCCCAAACCCCAAACCCTGAACCCTAAACCCTAAACCCCAAACCCTAAACCCTAAACCCTAAATCCCAAACCCTAAACCCCAAGCCCCTAAACCCAAAAACCAAAGGGCTCTGGATTGGCCTGGACCCCACCAGATGCCGCGCTTCCAGTGGCTCCCCGGCTCTGCAAGGTCACTGGGCCTCGAGCGGTTCTGGGAGTTTCTGCTTAGAAGTTCAGGGGTGTAGGGGTTTAACAGTTTCGGAGTGTGGGGCTGCAGAGTTTTGCCTTGTTGGCTCAGGATCTAGGGAGGGTTGTTCTTGTGGGGCAGGGGGTGGTGATGCTGAAGTTGACAATTTCGAGTTGTTACTTGGAGGCTGTTGCCCCTGTTTTTGCCAGACTTCTAGGATTGCACCCAGATTGCAGCTCGCTTGGCTAGAACCTGCTTGACCAATCTCAGCAATGACATTCAGCTTCGCATATGCAAAGCCCTGCATATCCCTGCATATTCTCTCCAGCCCGAAGACTCCGAAGACTTTAATGCCACTTCACGCAAATAGTTGAATCAGAATCCCAGCCAGGTGCACACAGACCCGTGCCACCTAACATCAGCCATTTCCTCTGTGGGGTTTAAGGAGTTTCAGGGCTCAGGGCCGTAAACGTAGCCCAGTCGCTGGAGCTCGAGGGAGAATTTACCACCTGGGCTTTTGGCTCCCGCGGTTTGGGGTTGGACTTTACTAGAGCTTGTGCCTCAACAGCCTTCTTGCACGAAGCCCTGAGGTCAAAGAGGAGGCATCGAGGAGGCGTCAGAATCTCTACTCTACCAATCCGCGACGCACGAGTCTTTCGCGATACGAGAGTTCTAAAAAGACTCCATTGTTCCCAATACCCTTAAGCCTTAAGCCCATACCTTCCACCAGGAGTCTCCCGCAAGGACAACAAGCATTGCGCTGGGACTCCCACGGCAGCATGAACAGCAGGGCAGAAAGGGAAGGAGGTGCCCCACCGTTACCATGTCCTGACGTCGGGAGCTTGGAGTTCAGGGCGCAGGGTTGGGAGGTATCAGGTCGGTGCCTAAACCCTGAACCCTGAACCCCAAACCTTAAACCGTAAACCCCAAAACAACCCCCAAACCCCTGGACCCTTATACCCTGAAAATTTCCAGTTGATGATGGGTCAGTGAACTTCGAAACCGGGCCTTCTGCAAGTCTTGGCCGGCCTGTATCTCGGCGTACGTCAAGTCCTGCGCCCAATGCCCACGTCCCCCCGCCCCGATTGGGTCAAAGAGTTTGAAGGGCTGTGAATGGGGCCTTCCAGCTTTCGGGCTTTTGGCCCTTTCTGCATCCTAAGAATCCAAAGAACTTTAGGTGCCTAGAAGCCCAGAGCTCCCCCAGAACCAGGCAATTTGACGAAAACTGCTAAATTATTCAACTTGGGATTCTGGGCGCACAGCTCCAGTGGGGGGGGGTATTGGTTCAGGGTGTACTCTGAGGATGAGTTCGGCTATCAGGGGTTCACCCTGAACTCCTCTGCCTCTCCTCAGCCTCAACCCTCCAAAATCCGATGCTTCAGCCTCTACCCCGGCTCCTCGCCGGAGAACTTCACCGAGTAGGTGACCGGGGGCATGAACCCGGGGCTTCCATCACCACAGAGGAGCCCTGAGCTTTTGGAAGGGGCCTCTTTGGAGGCTCAGGGTCTTGAGGGTCTTGAGGGGCTTCGCGGGCTCTGGTTTTGGTTTTGGGGATTTGGGTTATTGGGTTTGGGGATTTAGGGTTCTTAGGGGTGTTTTTTTAAGGGTGGGCGGGTGCTGAAAGACCGCCGCGGCCCCCGCAGGCTCAGCTGAGGGTTTAGGATTTGGGGCCTTGGGCCTTGTGGAATTTCGGTGTGAGAAGGGTGGCGGGTGTGTCAAGGTGGAGGTTCTCAGGGCGGTTGAAGGCAATCGGGCTCCAGAGTCGTAGCACGCCGGAAATCAGAGGGCCGCGATGAAGAGCAGTCCGGCAGTGCCCCCGATACTTCGGGCTTCTAACTGCGGCGAGGGGGCGTGAGCCCGTCATGGTCGTCATCGGGCCATACCTGGAAGGCTTTGTTCTAAGCCCTTAAAACCCTCAAACACTCAAACCCTCCACCCTCAAACCCAGATCCTCATCAGGAGGCCAGAAGGGCCTTGTAGGGTT